AAAGTCACTATGAAAAGCAAAATGTTTAGATTGATCCCTCTATTCAAAAGGTTGTCTGATTGGTAATGGAGGACAAAAATTATCATTGTTCTCTTGATACAGTCGTGCTAAAGTGACTTTAAGGAGAGTAACCAGCTCTTCCTCTCTGGGCCTTTTCTCTGCCTTCCAGGAGGTCTGACGCTGTGATGGAGCTTGTTTTTGCCAAATTTTGGCTTTAGACTTCTCCTCTGTTAAGATAATCGACGTTTTTCTCGCATTAGCTGCTTCCTCTTCTTCCAAACGCACGAAACCATCACCTCTTTCGTTCAGCTCATCCATGGTCTTCGGCGTATCCACCACCAGGCTTATGTGGAATGGTGTCCCTCGGTTCATGGCTAGCTTAAATGCTTGAACCACCGTGGATGGTTGACATTCCATTACCATGTTCTTGAAAAGATTGAACCTGGTGAGGAAAGCCTGAAGCCGTTCATCTTCATGCTGCTTTATAGTGAAAAGGCTTGAAACATCTTGTAATGACCCGGATTTTTCAAATAAATTTTTTCCGTGGATCTTTTCCTTTCTGGGTTCTGTTTCACATCGCTTAGTGTCGTCTCGAATGCTCTAGAGTGATTTCCAAGACTCTTTTCTGTGGATTGACAACTTCCTTTGAGGACCGAGTCGTTTCCACATTTTTCGTTTTTTGACACTATGCGCTATTTTGTCTTCTTCCCTATTTCGTCTTTTCCGCGTTTGTCACTTTGTTTGCGTAACCACACTTCTTGTGTTCGGAGTTGGTTTCTGACTTCACATATCTTCATTCCCAATGATTTCTATGAGATACGTATCTTTACTTTCGTGAGAAAGTACTCTGGTTGCTCCCGGTGTCCATAGGGGCATAAATGCAAAGTTCTTTGGAAACTTTTTCTTTTCTTGGGGTGTTTTTCATAAATATCTTTTGAAGATATTTTATTTCAAAGGTATCTAAGAAAATATCTTTTGGAAGATATTTTCATTCTGGGGCAGTTTCGCAGTTTTCACTTTTTAGAGGGGTTATTGTGCAATTAATGAAAGTTATTGCTCAATGCCTTGTTTGGAGCCTGGATCCTCATACGGGATTCATTTTCACATTTCGTTGAGTCGTGGACTCTTAGAATTTCCTCCTGGATGATGTTTTCTAGTTTTAGGGTTTTTGACCTCAATTTGCGCCAAACTTGTTTTAGGCATAACTCTCTACTCAGGACTCAGTTTTTGACGTCGTTTCTTCCGTTGTTCATATTTTCTCATTTGGAATCTTTTTCATTCACTGAGTTTTGCCATTTGAGCACGTCTGTGTGAATTCCACTTTTCCGGATCCGGCGGGGCCCGTTCGGGGCACTTTTTGAGTTTTTCTATAAATAGGGGGCCTTAGAAAGAAAAATCAGATTTTTCTCTCTCTCTCCTCTCTCATGGCCGGTCCAAGCTCCATCCATGGCTGCCATCTTCTCTCTCCTCTTTTGGACTTCTTCCCTTCATTAAAAAGTGGTGATGCCTTTGTGTTTATTGTTCCCCTCGGTGAGGCCTTCGATTCCAACCAATTGGAATCTCGTTTTGGCCATTTCTTGAGTTCGGGTTTGAAGTCAAGTTGTGTTTTTGATGGGGCTTCCTTGGGATTCATGTTCGTGGTGTTGTCCCCGACAAAACCTAGGAGTTTCGTCGGATTCGGAACCGATTTATTTTGGTGGGGATTTGAGATTTCATCTCAAATGGAGGTAGGGAATGTTTTAGGATTTTATATGTGTTGTATTGTGTGTTTTCCATGTTTATACAACCTATATGCATGCTTTGTATCAAATCTAGGAAATTTGAAATATTTAATTCTTTGTATAAGATTTAATTTTCATGATGATGAGAAACTTGGTTTTGAATTATGGCATGGTAGAAACTCTTGTTTTAATATGTTAGTTAACATATATTAAATTGGAATTAATTAAATAAGAATTACTCTTTTTAATTAATATTTATCTTCTGTGAAAGATTAAAGTTCATGGCCATACCTTGCATGGAATATTAAGAAAGTATTGAAAAATATTGAGTTTTTGCTTCACCATGTTTGCATTGGGTGTGGCAATTCTATTCTGATTCTTCCATAAGGTCTCATTAATCATATATGAAGTGTGGCCAAGGGCCAAATGGTATTTTGAAACCATTTCATAATTTTAAATTCCAAGTTTTCATTTCAAATTACATTTTTGGCATTTTAGTCGTTAGGGGGGTCATATTTTGTATCGGCCATATTTTTGGGCCATGGACCATTGTAGCACATCTTACTAGGTAAGTTACGTTTGCGTGCATGGTCGTTTCCGGGCAAAACTTCTTCTTTGGTGAAATGAGCCTCCTACATACTCATTTTACACTTTTGTTGCATATTCTGACCTAAGGGTATTTTGGGAATTTTCTTTGGGAAATAAATTCTGTTCTTCACATGGTCACTTAGAAAATATGATTTTAGGGGGGGTTTCTTTTTCGTGTTTTTCCAGAAAATGCCATCTTGGCATCGGAAATCGCATCTGAAATTCAGCTCTCAGTTTTTAAATTTAGCAGCTTTTTGGACACTCTGGACCAGTTTTCTTGGGAGGGCATTTTGGGCATTTCACATTGCATATTTTTCAATTTTCCTCGAGAGTCACGTAGAAAACTCGATTTTGAGGAGGGGTTTCTTCTTTGTGTTTTTTCAGAAAATGTCATCTAGGCACTCAAATTTCCATTTTTTCCAGAAAAACCCCTACTGCCAAGTTTTTGGGTCGCACCCTTACTGCCCCTTCACATCTAAACGGTTACGAGGGGTTTCGTAACCAGTTAGATGAGTGTGGGCAGTGTTTTTTTCACTGTTTTTGGCTTCCTAACCGGTTAGATGTTCATGGGTTACCTCTTTTGGACCGTTTTGCCCCTTCTTCTTCCGTTAGCCATATCTTCTTCATTTGAACTCCGAATCAAGCGATTTTTGAGTCTAAGTTCATTGATTTTTCATTATCTTTCCAATGGTGTGCTCGGTGGCACCCACTTTTAAGCTGGAAATGATGATTTTGCCCCTAGGTTCAATCTTGTTCATTTTTGAAATATTGCTTCCCTATTTGATTCCTTTGGGTTCCGTAACCTCGTTGAGGGTCACAATGGTGTCTTAGAGTCGTGTTGTATCTCTAAAGACCGTTGTTTATCTTTTGCTTCCGCATTTCAGATCTGTTATCGGATCATCTTTCGGTTCATCACTGACGCACCGGGTTAAAAAACTTGGGCTGTCACACATCTTTTGTTAGGCGCTTATTCTCGTAGTACTGGCTAATGAACTTATTACACAAGTCTTGGAAGCTAACGATTGAGCCTCAAGTTAGATTCTTGAACCAATTGAGGGCTGGCCTTGCCAAGCTTGTAGGGAAGCATTTGCACATTAAAGGGTCATTGTTCGTATTCAAAGCCATTTTCAACTGAATATGGTAAATGTGATCGATCGGGTTGGTCGTTCCATCTAACAGAATGAATACCGGCATGGAAAACTTCTTCGGATTCAAAGCGTTCAGGATTTCACTAGTGAACGGTGATGCAACCGTTCTTGCGGAGGACCGGAGTGCTTCATTCTCCCTTGAAAACCGTGGTGGAATCCTCGGATCCGTAGATCTTCCATCTAAACTCCTATAATCATACGTCGCCATTGAAGGTCGATAGGGTGGATCAAACTTTCTGTCATCTGTGAATCCCCTATGCCACAGTGATGGAGCTCCATAATGGCCAAACTCCATTGCTTCATCACGCCGCAACCTTCCTTGACTTGGATCAAAAGCGTTGGCTTCTTCTCGCATGATCCGTTCGCGATGCAAATCCAAGTGGATAGTTCCTTCCTGCTCTCCATTTGACGAACGTTTGGAGGTAGATCGCCTGACACAATCTCCTCGCGATGAAGATCTATACGATTGTTTCCTTCTGGATCATCGTGATGAGTAGCCTTGGATAGCACAACTCCCTCTCCTACTGGAGGTGGCCTTGGAATAGTAGGAGCCTCACGACGCTCCATTCCAGCTCGCAATTCTGCATTTTCTCTTCTTAGTGCTTCGATTACACTCATCAACTCATCGAGCTTCGATTACTGGCCATTCTCCAATGGATTTGAGCTCTCATTTCCGATCATCATTCCTGATCGGAGTAAAGTCATTAACTGAAAATTTCTAATTAGATCTGAGTTTCGCTAATGCAATCGCACTAGATTTAGACTCAAATCAGCTGAATTCTGATCTTTCTAGGCCAGATCCAAACTTCTTCCACCATGAACTCGTCAGGTTTAGCTCTGCCAAACAAAACACAATCGTGTTGATCGACTGAACAAGCACAGATCAGATCTGCGTAGATCAAACGTGAATCTCTCACAATCAACCAAAATCGAAATTCAGCCAAACAGATAACGATTTTGCCGATCTTGATTCAGCTTCTTCGTCACGCATCACTTTTGACCGATCGTCAATCAATCCTCATCGCTTCCCATAGACGGCGGCGCCATTGAAGATGTAAGAAATTTCTCTGAAAGTTTCATTACACTTCAAGAATTTTTCTCCCCTTTTTCCATCTATTTTCAATCTATTTATAGACTGTTACAATGGTCTTAGAGGTTTCCTAACTAATTCCTCGCGCTGGGCCATGTTCCGGGCCTCCCTTGATATGGGCTCGATTATTTTTAGCAGGCCTTCAGCATCACTATTCAATCTTGGGCCTAGCTTAAGACTAGTTGGTTCGGAACAAGATCACCTACTTGGCCCATTTTGTGTCATATGGGCCGTATCCGATCCGCGCCGTACTTAGTGTCTTCAATTTACTATGCAGTACCCTGTCTAATGAAAAATATTTCTTGTGAGCCGGACATAATAATTTCTCTTAATTTACTATTTTGTATGAGTACCATATTCCCAGTATCCCCAGTACCTGTTATTCTATTATTTTTCTCACACAATTTTTCAAAATTTAAATAAGGTGCTTTTATTGAATAACTAGTGTTACAATCTACAACGTTTTTTTATTTGAAAACCTGCGAGTTTTAGCTTTGTTTTGAGACTAAAAAAAAAAAAAAAACACACACACACACATATATATATAATAATAATAAATAAATAAATAATGTAAACCATTTAACACTTGAATGTTGCACAAATCATAAACCTGGCGGCGCATTGGCTCACACCAAAGGAGTACCTACACCAGATCAAGACCCCAACAGAAACCCCTGAAAAGGTTTGTGTCCTGTACAAAACCCTTCCCTCTCTCTCTCATTCCTCTCGCTTTCTCTCTCTAAAACACTGTTACAAGAATTGAATGAACGCAACTCTCAGTTGCATGGGAGATCCGAAAAACAGAAAAATGGTGTCCTTTTCACTCCCCCACTGTTGCCGATTCTACCCTTCCGAAGACCAACTCCTATGCTACCACCTCAGTAGCAAGAACGCCGATGATCGCCGATTCGGGTGCGATTTGATCCGAGAAATTGATCTCTACGGTCACGACCCGTTCGATTTGCCCGAATCCTCTTGCTTCCACTTCAGTCGTGGAGGGAGGAAGAGGCACTGGTACTGTTACACGGCGAGGGTTTTGAAGGAGAGAGGGAGGAGGAGGGCCGGTGGTGGGTACTGGAAGAGTAGGGGTAGGGTCAGTGATGTGTGTTCCGGTGCAGGGAAGGTTGTGGTGGGGACTAGGAGGACTTTTGTGTTCTATTTGGGGAATTCCCCAAAAACTGGCAAGCGGACCCATTTGGTTATGTATGAATATACCCCAATTGATCATAATCAGGTATTTCCTTACTCTGATTCTCCTTTTCCCTTGTTTTTCATATAATTTTGGTTTCATTATGTTGGATTGTGATTATTTGAAGGAATTATGTGTATTAGGGTCCAGTTTGGGGGCTATTTATTACATTTGGGGAATTGTTTTTGTTTCTCTTAAATTATATTGATTAGTGAGGCAGGAGAGATTGATTGTGAAGCATTATTGTTTGAATGAAAATTTAAAGCTTTTTGTTCCATTTTACTTAAAACAAAAAATGGCTGAGTTTTCTTGCAATAATTGTCCTCACTTGACAATGATTTTTCTTAGATAAAACCAGAGACAACGGCTCTTAAAATATATCTTCGTATCCAATGTTTATAGAGACATCTTAGGTTTGTATGTTAGGAAACAATTGTCACCTTGAGGAAATACCCAACTTTCCACTCAAATGTGCTAGAATTAGGTATATAAACTAAGAATCCTAAGATCCTTACTCTTGGTCTTTAGTAGTCATGCATCTAGCATGAACTATTTTAATGGATGTGAATACACCCATCATGATAGCATTAGATATACACACACATTGAATAATTGAAACTTTATTACTAATTGTCCAAAACAAAATAAAATCTAACAATCTATGCTACATCATGAAGCCTACCTAGCAACTGCCGTAAAACTGTGCATTTCTTATTAGATAATACTCCACAGCTCTTGGTCAATGATGACCCCAAATTGGACGAGTAATATCTGCTTGCCATCTCCCTGATTGAATAGATAGCTACTGCACACTTGCTTCATTCTCCGATTGAATAGATAGCTCCTGCAGCACTTGCTTCATTCTCGGCATTGAAAGGTGGCAGCTACATGTCAATATAAGCTCGACAAGAGATCGTGATTTAGCTGTTGCAAGCTCCTTGCTTTGAGCTAGTCCCATCCCTGTATAATAAGACATCAGTCTAGTCCCAACGCTTGACAAATGGTATATTTTATTCGTGAGCTGTGACCTTTTATTCAAACTTTGTCCAAGGAAGTGTACTTGCTTGGGATAATATTTGTAATTTGATCTTCTTTAGATGGGAATACGGTCTGGTTTTGTTTTGTGTTCATAACTTTATGCCCTGCTTGTGATATCTTATTAGCATTTGGTTTAGATTAGAAACAAGTTAAAGCGTCATGTCTTATGCCAATTAAGTTGCAGTTTCATCTTGAAAGTTCTGTGGCGTTAGTATTATTCTGTCCAATTGGGATTAGAAAAGGCACAAGCCACAAGGGGAAATGTTTTTGGAATGGGGGCTGTTTCCATTGCCTTTTCATTTGTTTCTGTTATGAACAATTTGATCTTTACTCTTGCAGGCTTCCTTTGTTCTATGCCGGATATTTGCTAAATCTCATGCTGTAAATAACATATTAGAGCATGTTCTAAGTTCTTGTGGTGAAGGAAGAGTTGCAACCGTACGTCACATTCGTATTCAGTATGATGGGACCGTGCATGATGACAATTCTGTTGAAAGGAAGAATGAGGTTTTGAGATTTCCAATGGGAATGGTTGATGAGCTTGATGATCGAGTTCCTGCTGAGGCTGTCACTGTTGCCAGCTTTCAACTTCCTTCTAGCACACAGCCTAATGAGCCGGTATTTTTATTTCACACATTTTCTCTTAGATCAGATGTGATGCTATCAATTTTATTAATTTTATTTGTTTATTTCAAGCATGGTAGCACATCTTATCAATTCAAAATGCACATTTGTACGTCTTAGTACTGGCTTTATTCAATGTGCATCATGCATGCTATGCATATTCATTTGCTATGTTTATGGGGAACTTATAAATACTATTTATGTGTGCATGCTTTGAAAAGATTATTTTATTTTTTTTTTATTATTATTTTTTTTTTTTGTGTCTTTCACTGTCCATTGCATCAAGATTTTTATTGAATTTGGAAGCAAGGTTTCAGTCTTTTACCTCACAGGCCTACACAATTTACATTTATACTTGAATAGATGCTATTTCTCAGCATCTATTCCTCTGGATTGTGTAATGCACATGACTTACCAAGAAAATTAATGATTAACGCCTATTTTAGTATCTATAAACCTCCCTCAATTTATGTAAAATTGTAAGACATGCAGATTAGCGTAGCTTAGCACACATGAAACCTAAATTTATCTTCCTCCACTATATTAGCGTAGCTGGTTACCATGGTGGGGTGGATTTTTTGCAGGTGATGTCGTCTGGGCTTAGCGGCAATGGCACGGTGTTCATTGATGATTTGGCTACTCAGCAATTAATAGCCTTTTTAGAAGACAATTATATAGAGTTGGATGATTTTTCATACCCACCTTCAGGTTGTTCGGTCTCTGTGTTTGGGGGCGGGAGTGCTTGGTCGCAGGGGTTCCTTTGTCATGATCAATTTCAATGCTGAGGTTGAACTCATAGTTCAAAAACCTGAAATCCCCAATGGGACATTTAATGGAGCAAAACATCTGTCAATTATGAAGTTACCAGTAATGTAGCTTGGTATTTCTTCCTGTAACTTGGTATATATATCTTGATTCCTTTTCTTGTTTAATCTTCAATCATTTTCTTTTCTTTTCTTTTCATATATATACTTTTATAATTCTTTAAATTAGAGTAAATACTTGGAGAATCAGAGGTTTCATATTTCTATAAATAAGCTTGTATATAAGCTGAAACAAATCACCAAAGGTCACTTGCATATAATGTAGCACATTTAAATGTGGGTGAAGTGCAAAAAAAATCCTTGATGTATACAGAATGTGCAAATATCCTCTTAGTATTGAAAAAAAAAAAAAAAAAAAAAACACCTTAAATTTTTAAATAGAGCAAATAAGACAATGCATTAATTTGAAGATGGGAATATCTAAAACACCCTTGAGACAAATAAATATGAAAAAAAATACTGATTTCAAGGATTTGTGATTTTTATTAAAATTTTGGAGTCTTGTGGGTTTTTACAAAAAATTTCTCAAATTTTGGGGTTTTTATGAAAAATTAAAGACTGAAATACTTAAATGCCCTAAAAAAAAATTGTCAAAATGGGGACAAATTTGTTACAAAATTATGAGATCTTTAGGACATTTTATTTTTATTTTTATTTTTTTATATAGCATAAGGGTTTCTTTGCACTTTACCCTTTTAATTAAACCTATAATTAAAGAAGAAATTATGTTATTTAGAGATGAAGAAATGTCGAAGAATCATTTTGTTACCTGCAATCCAATTTGGAGGTAATTACAGATATAGAACATTATAGCAGAAGACTAGGATAAAAAATAATAAAAATTATTATATTGATGTGGGATTAGAAAACAATGTAACAAAATAAGAGCTTTAATTTTCTTTAAAATAAACTCACAATTGTACAAATTAAAAAGCACAAGAAGAACAGTAGCATTTCCATGTGCATAATAAGTGCCACTCATGCAGTTTCCAGCTCCCTTCTTCATATGGTTAGAGATGGCAATGGAGGTGGAGGTGGAGGTGGAGGTGGGTGTGGGTCATTCTAATTCTTGTGTTTCTGCATCCCAGCCCGATTGAATTACCACACCACCACCTTTCAAGAGATTGAGAGAAAATTTAAAGATTCAGTCGATGATTAGCAATCACTAAAATCTTGTTTAAGTAAATCCGGCAATGACATCGAGTCTTGTGCATTGAATTAGTTGTTTTTTTTTTTTTTTTTTTTTTTTTTTTTTTTTTTTGACTCACAGTTGTATATTAAATTTTCACATCTTTAGAATTTGGTTTTTACGTTTAGAGAAAAATTCAGTATTCAAACTCATATCAAATTCACAAAAATATTGTTCTTTATAGTTTCGTAAAAACAGGATTCGAAAAGAATTTAGTATAATATTGAAAAAATCATTTTCAGAAGCTAAATAAGCTTTTTGTACAATTTTGTGATAACTATTATTATTCTTAAATTTTCAAAAACCTCTATGTCAAATAAATTAAAGATACTATCACCTACCTTTCTTGACGTTAGGCTTAATTATACATAATACTTTTAACATTTCAAAAATTACAGTAACATCCCTTAAGGTTAACTCCAGCATAACAGTTTCCCTCTCCTAGTAATAGTCAACAATCAATGACCTTTTTCAGCTGATGTCATCCCTTTTTAAGTATGGAATACCATATTTAGCCTTTAAAAAATTATAAAGGCATATACACCCTAATTTTTAAATTAAAAATTACTATTAGAAAAGAAATTGCACTCCAAAACCTCATGCTTTGTGATTGTGAACATGGTTAACTCTTCTGTGTGTGTACATAACACACTGCTCACTCTATATATATACATATATATATATACTGGTCACACTACCTGTCCCTCACTTGATCTATATATGTGTATACATATATATACACACATATATACACATAACAGAGTTCAACAAAACAAAAACAAAAATACACACAATAGGAAGAAGGAAAATGGGGGGAAATCAAATTGGAGATGAGGTCAATATACATAGATCTAATTGAACGACAATAGGTAAATCATCAACAAAATTGGAATGAAATTCTCTCTTTTAAACAGAAGCACAGGATTTTCAATGAGGTTTCTGATCCTAGAGTTGTCTCCGAACAACACGGCTCTGTCGAACCTCGCTAGACTCCAGATCCGGGTAGTGGCGAGCTTGGTGTAGAGAGGGGGCGTATGATCAACGTTTATGTTGCGGTGGCGACGACGTTGATGGCAACTCTGGCCGTCGCGGTGATGGTGGCTGTGGTTGTGGCTAGGACTGCTGTGGTGGGCGGTGGTGAAGAAGGTGGTTTTGTTATGGCCGTGGTGGTGGCTATGGCCATCGCGATAGCGGTGAAGATTGTGGCTCTACTCTTACCTTCATCGTCTGCAAATTTAAGGCTCAAACCTGTTCTGCCACGTGCCTCCAACGTCTACCTCCACACAGTCACCCCCGGCGACGGCTCTTACGCACGCATAGGTCGAATGAAAGCCCTTCACTTCACTGCTATAGCCTGCTGACCACTAGTCGCTATCTATCTTCTTTATGCCCGATTTGGAGACTGTATTTTGGTAAAAGTATAGCAATTTAAAAATTAAAAAAAAAAAAACTTTTATGTTATATTTATAAAATATTAGAGGGTATTGCAGTAATTTAACATAAAAAATTATTGAAATAAAATGCCCCTCAATTTGGAGGAAGGTTAGTGTAATTTTTTTAAACGTTATGAATACCGCGTGTAATTAAGCTTAACCTGAAGGGAGGCAAGCGATATTATCCCAATAAATTATTGGTTTAGTTGCTTTTCTTTTCTTTTTTTTCTTTTTTTTTTTTTTTTTTTCTTTTTTGGATGGTAAATCTAAAACTGGAATCTATAATTATTCAACTGTATTTTTTTTTTTTTTCCCCTTTCTACCTTCTTCTATTGCTAAGTATCATAAAACTGAACTATCAAGACTCTCTTAAATTATTGAAAAACTTCTCTATTTAATAAATTATTGAGGTAGTTGCCCTTTTTTTCTTTTTCTTTTTGAATGATAGATCAAATATCTAAATCTATTTTTAGTTAACTGGATTTACACTCGCACCCCCTGAGATTTGCTCTATTGACAGTCAGATGAAAGTTGGTCAATTTTTGAACACTCTCACCCGTCATAAATTGCAGCCAAACAGTTCCTAAAAAAGTAGAAAAAGACTTTATTACCCTTTAATAAAATAATAATCCTTGATTAAAAATATAAGAGTATTTAAATGACTCAAATACCCCTCTTTCCTCTCTTCTTTCACACTGGTATTTTGTACATTTACAGACACACAAACACACATACAAATATAATACGTTGGATCCCTACAGCCTCTGCCGGCATTTTCTGGGTTTGGTCCTCTTCGGCTCCGGCATGTTAGCATTCTCACCTCACCGGCTATTGCATTCCACCTTTCCCGCCACCACATCGCCACCCATTTGAAACCACAACAATCCCAATCAAACCCACAACGATCTCAAATCATAGCCACCACACTCTCTCTTTAAATTGAAAATGCAAGCAAATCAGAGATGCACGTATCATTTTGGCCTTTCAAATTTTGTAGGTGTATTAGATACAGACGTGTTTGATCCAACAAGATACCAAAAAGGTGAGAGCCATATTCCTTACACATATGTCGCATTTGGAGGTGGACCAAGAATGTGCCCTGGAAAAGAGTATGCGAGATTGGCAGTGCTCGCTTCTGTGCACAATGTGATGATTTATATGCTCAATTTGGTGGAACAGTTATACGAATTTGTAATTTATGTTTACCATAACTAAAATGGTGGTGTGGAGGGATTGTGGATGGGTGTGGTGTGGTGGGGGTGGTAACTGGGTCTTGTTTTAGAGAGAGAAAAGTTTAAATTTAGAGAAAGAGAAGGGGTCATGAAGAGGAAGAAAACCCTCTTAAAGGGGTAGTTTTGTAATTTTAGAATAATAATAATCAAATTTTCATTTAACATTAAATCATAAGATCAATTTTATCATTTCACAATCTAAATAACGTGTCGATCACGGGCATGAAATTAATCTGATAGCTTTTTATAGTTTACGGTTTTTATTTTATTTTATAGATAGGGGTTTATGGATACTTTTGATAATAGAGGGGGTATGACTGCAACTTGGGCGGGCTAACCCAGCCCAACCCAAAAATTTTGAAACTGGGGCTTATATTCACAAATCGGTCATGTTCGGGTTGGGTTTTGTCAAAACCCAAACATATTCGAGTTGTGTTCGGGCTCAACCTGAACCCAACCCAAAACCTGATTTTTTTTTTTTTTTTTTTCTCTCCTCTCTCTCTCTCTCTCTCTTCTTTCTCTTTCTCTCTCTGCCGCCGTCCATGCATTTCTCTGCAATCCTAAAACGAACGGCAAAGCTTGAGAGTTGAGAGACAGCTGCTGAAGCTTGCAAACGGCGAACCCGAACTGGAACAGCAGGCGATGGAAACTGAAAGAAACGGGTTTTGATTTTTTGAACAATCTGAAATGATATGCCGATATGGGTTTTGATATAGGTAAATAGGTTTTGAACTTTTGATTCTATAAAGAGAGAAAAAGGGGAAAAAGCAGATGGCGGTGTGGATGTTAGATATTTTTCCCGTGATGCATAAAGGCAAGTGATAAATAAACCATGAAACCGCTCAATATTAAAATTTTCTATTATCAGGCAATTACAGATCTCATATACATGTGTTTATATATATATATATATAAATGTGTGTAAACAGTGAGAGGAGAACCTGGTGGTGGGTACGTCGAGTTTTATTCTTGCAGAAAAGCTTCGACTTTTGAGGAATAAACTCAAAAGGTGGAATAAGAAGGTTTTTGGGAGCTTGGAGTGGAGGAAAAATAGGGCATTGGCTAATATTGCCGAGATTGATAGATTAGAAGGAGAGGGTGTTCTTTCTGAATCTCAACGCAGTAGAAGAGCAGCTTGTCGGGCAGAATGTGTGGAGATTGTAGTTTTGGAAGAAATTTTATGGCGCCAAAAATCTCGGGCCTTGTGGCTCAAAGAGGGAGACCGGAATACCAAGTTTTTCCATAGAACTGCTAATGCTCGTAGGAGGAATAATCACATTGGGCGGATGTGTGTGGATGGTGTGGTCTTGACTACGGAGGAGGAGGTGCGTAGTGGTATTGTCTCTTTCTACCAAAGGCTTTATTCTGAGCCTCTTCGATGGAGGCCACATCTTGATGGGCTTCACTTTGATTCTATTTCTGCCTTGGAAAGAGATGGGTTAGAGAGTCCTTTTTCAAAGGAGGAGGTGCTGAAGGCTCTAAAGAGTTGTAATGGTGATAAGGCTCCAGGCCCTGATGGCTTTACTATGAGATTTCTGTTGGAGAGCTGGGATGTGGTCCGGTACGAGGTTATGAGCACTTTTCATGAGTTTCATTCCACGGGGCGGTTTGAGAAATCACTGAATGCATCTTTTATTGCCCTTATTCCTAAGAAGAGTGGTGCCTCTAACATTAAGGAATTTCGACCAATCAGTCTAATTGGGTGTATTTACAAGCTCATCGCAAAAGTCCTTGCGTTTAGATTGAGGGAGGTTCTGGATGGCGTTATCTCTGAGTCTCATAATGCTTTCATTGGGGGTAGACAGATCTTGGATTCCACTCTTATTGCCAGTAAATGTGTGGATTCTAAACTTTATAGTGGGGTTCCTGGTGTTCTTTGTAAGCTGGATATCGAGAAAGCCTATGATCATGTATGCTGGAATTTCCTGTTCTATCTGTTGGAGAGGATGGGCTTTGGTGAGAGATGGAGGAAATGGTTTTCTTCATACGTTTCTACCGTCAGATTTTCGGTGTTGGTGAATGGGTCTCCCACGAGGTTTTTCGGCAGTTCTCGCGGTCTGAGATAGGGGGACCCTCTCTCCCCGTTCCTTTTTATTATTGTTATGGAGGCTCTTAGTAAGTTGATGAGAAAGGTGGTGGACTTGGGTTTTATCAGGGGTTTCAAGATCGGCCCCAACTCAGTTCAGCAGATGGAGATTTCTCACTTGTTCTTTGCGGATGACACTATTGTTTTTTGCGAGGCAGAGGTGTCCCAGTTGAGGTATCTGAGATGTGTTTTGGTTTGCTTTCAGGCTGTCTTTGGTTTGAAAGTCAACGTAGGTAAGAGTGTGCTTGTCCCTGTTGGGGAGGTTCAGGAGGTGGACACTTTGGCTACTGTTTTAGGGTGTGGGACGCAACGCTTCCCTATCTCGTACTTAGGTTTGCCGCTGGGGGACTCGGCTAGGAGGGTAGGAAGTTGGGACCCAGTGATTGAACGGGTCGAGAGAAGATTAGCTGGTTGGAAAAAGCAATATCTCTCCAAGGGGTAAAGTTACGTTAGTGAAAAGTATCTTGTCAAGCCTTCCAACGTATTTTCTTTCGCTCTTTCGGATCCCAGCATCTGTTGTTGGACGTCTTGAGATGCTTCAACGAAACTTTCTTTAGGGGGGTCGTGGAGAGGAGTTTAAGTATCATCTTGTCAGATGGGAGCAGGTTTGCAGGCCTTTTTAGTTAGGCGAGCTTGGGATTAGAAGATTAGTGCCCTTCAACAGTGCTCTCCTTGGCAAGTGGCTTTGGAGATTCGGCAGTGAAAGGCATAGATTATGGAGAAGGGTTATTTCATGTCGCTTTGGGGAGGAGAGAGGGGGGTGGTCAGCTAGGCCAGTCAGGTCTGCTAGTGGAGTGGGGGTGTGAAGGGCCATTGGAGAGGGATGGGACGAGTTTTCCAAACATATTAGATTCAGAGTTCGGGATGGAAGGTTTGTCCGGTTTTGGGAGGACACCTGGTGCAAAGATAGGCCTTTGGCTCTTTTGTTCCCAAGGCTATTCAGGATTGCTGTTGACAAACATGCTATGGTTGCTAACTGCTATGGCCTTGATAGCGGGAGGTTGTCTTGGGATGTGTAATTCCGACGATCTTTTCAGGATTGGGAGTTGGATGATGTCACTGGCTTGTTGGCTCTCCTATACAGACAGGAGGTGGAGGACACTAATGCAGATTCCCTGATTTGGGTGCCTTCTACTCAGGGATGTTCCAGGTCCGATCTTTTTTTTGTGTGCCTCTCTAGTTTTCATGGCTCTACCTTCCCGTGGAAGATGGTGTGGTTGTCCAAGGCGCCTCTTAGGGTGACCTTTTTTTTGTGGACTGCAGCTTGGAGTAAGATTTTGACTTTGGACAACTTGAGGAAGCGAAGACATATTATTGTTAATTGGTGCTGCCTTTGTAAGTTGAATGGGGAGTCAGTGGATCACTTGCTGCTGCATTGTCCTGTGGCTCATGACTGTTGGGAGTCTTATTTTTGGTTTGTTTAGTATTCATTGGGTCATGCCTCGGACTTCTCGGGAATTGTTGGATATTTAGAGGGGCCAATGGGTGGGGGCTCAGGCAAGAGTCTTCTGGAGGGTGACCCCTTTTTGCGTTTGGTGGAGCCTTTGGAAAGAGCGAAATAGAAGATCCTTTGATGGAAAGGAATCCTCCATTGGGGTGCTGAAATTTTCTATTATTTGTACTCTTTTTTGTTGGGGTTGGGGTTGGGGGAGAGATTATTCTTCTCTTGAGGATATTGTGGACCTTTTGGGCTCTTTGAGATCGTAAGTTCCGTTTTGTTTTTTGTATAACTTGGGATGCGTTCCCCTTTTGAACGTCTTCTTTTGAACGTCTTCTAATACATTTTACTTATCAAAAATAAATAAATAAATAAAGGCTACAAGGAAGAGATAATGGTTGAAGGTTTGATAATGGTTGACCGGTAAGCTTTGGGAGTTCAAGTCCCGTGTGCTATGATGAGAATTTGAAGGAAGAGATTTGGGCTTGTGAATAGAATTTTGAAAGCAGAAATGATTAAAACAGGTTTGGTTGTAGGGTTTTCAAAGGCTTAAAAATTGCAAAGAAGTAAAGAAGTAAAATGATTAGTTATGACTTGAGCACCACCCCTAGATTCAATATAGGCATTGCACCTAGAATAGCATGCATGATCCACAAAAAGCATAAATACTAAAAAAATTCTCTAGAACTTGTGATCCATTTGATTGAAAGCATTACATATTTATATATTAATTTTCAAGTATTCCCAATTCTAATAGGGTTGGACTCAATATTTTAAAAAACCTAGTTTGTCAGACCAGTAAAACACAATATAAACTCGTTAAAATCCACAAAATAAATATTCAACACCATAACGGGACCCAAAGGATAATCCATGGATCCCTATAAATTACCCTTGACACATAAAATATAAGAATTAGAATCAGATCAGCAGCAGCGGAACCTAAAATAAACATAAAAAGGTAGTCCACTAACACAAGCTTTATCATGTAAATTCCTAAGTGTGTCTCACTTTAAAATCGAAACATATTACCCACAAGTTGCTCTCTCTGAATCTATCTTTCCTTGAGCTTCTTCTGAACTACATCACTTGAAGTCTGGTCTAATTCTCCTCCTTTATTATGCTTGGGTGCATGCACCTTGTTCATGTTCAAAATCAAGCTCAAAATAAATCAGATCCTAAAATGTGTCTTCATTAATTACACTATCATCCCCGAAAAGGGGAAAATTTTGTTTCCACAGACGTGTCTCCGATAAGTTAAAGGCTTTCTCAATGCATTGAATAATGATGAAGAGAGGTCTTCAATTCATCTAGTGTCTTCATTTCCTTTACTCAACCCATGCCTCCATTTTACCTCAACCTATGCCTCAGTTTGAAGTTCAAGAAGATGACATATAGAAAAAAGAATTGCAAGTTGACAACCAATTAGGGAAAGAATTACAAGTTTACTATATATTCCGCAGGGACTAGCTGAACCCCTCACAGTAATGCCAAATAGTCTTCTAAGACTCAGGTAAAGGCACACAAAAACAATGCCAAGGTTATTTTATTTTTCAAATAAGGCAAACCAAAAAAAACACAACGATTTGGTGTTCGGTCCATGTTCCTTTGTCTATCCAATTTCGTTGGTAATGATTTCCCATGGAAGATTATATGGCATTCTAAGGGTCCACTTAGAGTTGCATTCTTTGTTTAGACTTCCGTTTGGGGTAAGATATTGACGTTGGATAATTTAAGGAAAAAAGGAAACACTATTGTTAATTAGTGTTGTCTATGTAAAACAGATGGTGAGTCTGTGGATCACATTCTTTTGCACTATCCTGTGGCGTATGATTGTTGGAACCTCATATTCAACATTTTTGGTGTCCATTGGATAATGCCTCAGTCCTCCATAGGATTGATTAACGCATGGAGAAGATGCCCAGTGAAAAGCCACTCTCGTGACCACTGGAGGATAGTTCCACATTGTATTTGGTGGTGCATATAGAGAGAGAGGAATAGCAGAAATTTCGAAGGAAAGGAAACATCTGTGGCGACATTGAAAACACAGATTCTTCGTTCTATTCTCTGTTATGTGAAAGGAAGCGATTGCTCCTCGACTAATGACTTAGTTGATCTTTTGGACTCTGTTGGTCCTTAGGTTCCACTTTTGTTTTTGTATTAGGGACGCGATCCCCTTTTGAACGCTTTTCGAATCGATTTTTACTTATAAAAAATAATAATAATAATCCATACTAGGTACAAATACTTTCGAATCAAACCTTCAAAAAAGAACACTTGAATATGTCTGTAAATATATGCGAACCTGCATACCAGTTAAAACAATGGGATAACTCCGTGGAAAAGTTGAAACATCATTAGAATCAAAGCCTGTTGCATAGAAGTCCACACCAGCTGGTAGAACACACTGCATTCAAACAAAATTTACACTCAATTAAAGTGTTATGCCAAAGTGAATGAATTAAGTAGAAGAACAAATTAGGTTGTAACGTGATTAGATACAGTATTGACTAGTCTAAGTAAAAGGTTATCCTAACAAAGAGAATATTAAGGTGGAAATAAAAAAATACTTAAGTCGGGACAGACTACATTGTCCACCACCATATTGTCTATGTGATTGATAATATCAAAGCAAGGAGCGAATTGAAGATTATTACAATCAATCAATCAAGTATTTTGAAGACCGGGGTGCAATCTAACAACCAAGGAGAGCAAACTTTGTAGGTGAACAAGTTTGTTGTCAACAGCAGCATTCTTGTGAGAGAACGTGTGTAATTCAGAATTAGAGGTAACTGAGTTATTCCAGAGGGGTAAAATCCGATTCCTAGGCTATATAACCTTTCCCTTTAATGACTTATCAAAAAATAAATAAAAAACTTTCAATATAATGGGTTGTTCATGCATGGACTGAAGGCCTCATAGTCTAGGATTTTTCATGTAAAAATAGACCCTTAAATATTTTTACCTATTGTTTTATCTATTTCATTGCATATATGATTGTGATTGAGACATGTGGATATATTGAAACGAAGCAAAAATAATCAAATCCAAACTAAAATCTAGAAATTAGTTAAAAGCATTTTGAAAGTGCTACGGACCAAAAACCGAGGCTCTAATATAGAGTTGCGCAAGGTCTACTGATCTAGACTTAGAGGGGGTGAATAGGTCTTTTAAAACAATTTGATTATTTTAGCCATTTTTTAAATTAAACTTAATCAACAGAAAATCAAACTAGCATAATGTAAAAATCATGCAATTCACGGATATTAAAGCAATAAACACCAGACTTTTCCGTGAAAAACCCTCATATAAGAGAAAAACCATGGGACCTGGTCCAGGCAAACCAAATCCATTATTAAGTAAGTCCTGAACCCCTTGTTACCTCCAAACACAGATGACGCCAAATTTTGTCACCGTCAATCCGCTCATCTACAACATCCGCTCCTCACGAATCTGCTTATCTAATGAATCGGTCTTACCCACTAATCATCTGGTTTGTCAATCTGATTGTGGATGGAACTAAAGTATTGAATGGTCTTTCAGAGTATGCAGCAGTAGTATCAACACATGTATGAATACACTCACCAAAGCTAGCTTATGCATATGATGAATGCAAAAGAAAAGTGCACACAAAAACCTCACAAATATTTCCTCTCAAAAATATGTATTAGATGTGTCCCTCTTATGTGTGTAGGTCTACCCAAAAGTTTATTCATAGGGGCCAAGAGGTAGTGAGAAAATTAGTTTTTAGATGAGTTTGAAACCTATTAGGAAACTGTTGTTTTGAACACCTCGATGGATCGAATTGAACATCAATCGATCAAAGTTACTCCAAAAGCCCTTGATCGATCCCTTGATCAATCGAACCCTTGTGCAGATTTATACCTATAAAACTTTTATAAAGGCAGTTTTCAAATTTTAATTTTTGCACCAACAGGCCAGTGGCCTAGCGGTATCAAACTCTTACGTCTCAAAGAGAGGTCATGGTTCGAGCCTCAGTGAAAGCATGTGTGTGTGAGTACCCAACTAAGGAAAAAAAAAATTAATTTTGCATTCTTGAAACATATATAGGAATAAAAATAAGTTAGAAACTTAAAAATTAGGAAACTCTAGATATGCAATGCATATACCCTAAATGGTGAGTGCATCATTGTGTAAGATTACCTTTTTACCCTTGTCGATGAAGAATTATCCTTTGATGTAGCATGTAGTTAATCTTCAACTCGGAGAAGTAACTGTCACTTCACTAACTTTTGAAAATTTCTAAACTAAGCTAGAAATTAAGTAAAAGTACAAACTCGATGTTTTGATCTACTAAATTTATCAACACAAGTCCTATTGACCTAACACAATTAATATTCACGAATAACTACTCACCCCTTTCTAGGTTTGAATTGAACTATGCATGTACTCTGACGTATTAAAGCCTAATATGATGATATGTTCCCTCATTCTACTTCCGTGGATTTTGAAGATTAATATTTTCCTCAAGGGTCAAGAATATCCTTGGTTCCTTCCAAAACGGCTCATTTTGCCAATGGATATAATAAAATTGAAGAGATATCTTGTGGAGGCCAAAATGGGCTCCTTGATTATTCATTGTCCAATTCTTTGAGTTCTTTCTTATATTGGAGCCACTTCTTCAATCTTTTGTAGTACAAATGGTGATGCTTAAGTCATTACGAAATCTAATTGATTGTTGATGTACCAAACACGGGGCTTAAAAAGTGAACAGTAGGGCCCTTCATTTTTGTTTGGGTAAGTCTATGGTTTTCCCTTCCACACCCCGTGTAGGAGAACATCACCAGCTGTTGAGTGATTATCATATGGAAAGCTTAGACTTAAATGAATGTGCTAACTTTAGAAGTATTACAAAAAATAAATAAATTTACTCAGACAATCAGGGCGTGTGGGGAAAAAGAACATATTAAGAAAGATGAAAGTAGCAAGGGTTTTGGACCAAATGACATTCTTATTGAGGGTTGGAAGTGTTTGAGGATGATTCGTGATGGTATGTCTTGGGTAGCTAAAATCTTAAATACGATCATAACCAGAAAATGTAGGATGGCTAGGGAAAACATATTTTCCTACCTATCTATTAAAATAAGAGAATATTTAAAGTTATACCCATTTTTGCAACAGTAAACTTATGAGTCGTACTATCAAAGTTCAGAAAATATTGATTGAGCAACTACTAAAATTGGGTACAACAATATCTAAAAATCAATTCGGACTCATACTGGAGAAATCAATAATGTGTTAAGATAAATGTTCTTTGAGACGACTAAGAATCAAATTAGATATGCATAAATTCGTGATACAATTAAAGTGGAACCCACTGTACATAAATGAGAGAAAATCAACCAAAACTATATATGAAATGCAGCAAAGACTAATAACTGCATTCATAAGGAAAAGCAATGTGCCCACATTGAGGTAATATTATGGAAAGGAAAAGATCAAAATTAAAGGGTTGGGATGATAAGGAAGGATATGATAGTGTGTTGCTTAACTAATGCATGGCCTTAGAACATAATGATGAAACAAAAAACAAGTAGCTGACGCCAAATAGTTGAGATAATGCTTTGTTGAGACTTGAGAGTTGCTTTTGCAATCGAGAAAAGGTAGAACAACAGAATTTTAAAAAACAAGAAAGAAGCATCCGAGGATATGGTTTCAAATACAACAACAACAAGCCTTTTTCCCAACTACTTGGGGTCAGCTATGGTTCAAATATCATACATATAATTTATCCTGTACTTTTGCTTATCAATTCAATGATGTTGTGTATCTGATTTTTGTGGAAATCAGGGCTCTTTCTACAATTTGTAACTATCATAAAATTTTCATACTCTTGTTGTTTTTATAGAGTTTCTCTGATATTTTAGAGTTCCTAACTGACAATTCCAAGACAATTGAAACCAAAGCACTAATATCCAGTATCAGTGGAGTTCTAATAAGCAATCAACTATGACCTCTTCACAATGAATTAAACAAAATTCTGATTCCAAAAGAATACAGAAACCTTAAATGAACAAACTCTTACTGCAGGAAGCTATAGAGGCAGTGAAGGATAGAGAAAATGGTTGGGCAAGAGTGTACTAGTTCAATGAGAGAAGGCAAGTACATGACCCCTGTCCCATGTAACCCTCTATTCCCCGTCCAGGCTTGAGCCTCCAAACATAACCCAGACACGATGAAGTACTCAAAGATCCAGGAGATTGATGATCCCCTCACACACTACTTTCACCAATAATATAGATAGACTCGGTTGCTTGATAAATAAAGTTCTTAGATCTGAATCTCTCTTTAACCTATTATCTACCCAAAAAAAAAAAAAAAAAAAAGAGAGATTTTATTTCTCTCTCTCGTCCTTGATTTTCATTTCTAGCTGCACTCAAATGCTTCTAGATATATAAAGTTTCTTTGGGACATTTGGGATTCAATTTACATTTGTCTCCAAATTGAATAGCGCACTAGGGTAGGGTAACGATATGTGAAAGGGAAGACCTAATTCAACATGGTTTGAGATAATGATAAATAATATGGTTGTATGCAGTTTAACTAAACCTATGACCTTTTGACAAGCATAATGGTGAAATGGAGATCAGGTAAGTGATCCCAAAAAGTAAGTACTCGTTGTTGAAAGCTACTTGGCAATCAAGAAACATTACAATAATAGGAATTTTCAGCAACCAAAAGAGAACATCAAGTCGTCAAAGGTGGCATATATTATATCTTTCTAGTGCTCTGATTTTTGTGGGAATCGGGACTTTTTCCATAATTTGTAACTCTCATATATGTTCCATGATTTTTCACTCTATGCATATAATTTCTTTTGCAATTTAGAGTTCAAAGAACAATGTCAAGAAAACTGAAACCAAAATACAACTTTCCAATATCATCAGAGTTCCAATAAGCAATTCACCTATAACCACACCACATAAAATCACAATTCACTTAACAAAACTCAATTGACAACAACAACAATTGATTTCTTACAGTGGGAAGCTGTGGAGGCGGCGGAGGGTACAGAGAGTGATTGGAAGGAGGGTACTGATCGAGGAGAGAAGCCAAGTACAAGATCCCTGTCCCATGTACTCCTTTGTTCCCCTCTAGGGTTCGAATCTCCGGACCAAAAGTACTCAAAGATCCCGGCCATAGACGAACCTCTCTCTCTCTCTCTCTCTCTGTGACTACTTTTACCGGTTATACGTTATGGGCAATGCTAGTTTGATATACAAAGTTTCTAACCTACCAAAAATAAGAATCTCTTTGTCTCTAGTATTTGCTTTCTACATCTGACAAAATGCAATAGGGTTTGAGAAATTGAAAGGATCTGGAATTGGCTTTCACGTCTGTTTACGATTTCAAATGGTCACCGTTTGGATCAAAACGATGAGACTCCGAAGAATTGACTCGTTAGGTACAGCCCAACCAAGCTGTTCGTTGTCTCTCTCTCTGGTGTGAAAAGAGTTTTCTCATCTGAGAAATCGCTATTTTGCCTGCAGGCCTGCTTGGGGTTAGCACGGACAAGACAGAAGTCCTAATCGTTCCCCTTTTTTTTTTTGTTTTTTTTTTTGAATCATGACAAATCTCAACCATCCAATCCAGGTAGAAAAATAAAAAATACAGGTACAAGGTTACAAACTTACAAACTAAGAAGAAAAGATACAAATACCGATATGAATACAAATACAGATACGAAATAAATAGGACAGGACACCATATATATTTATTAGGATCAAGTGCAGAAAATACCCTTAAACTATATATTATATTATAATATGTTTATAATGCATATTGCACCCCTCACGTGCAAAAAACATCTCTAAACTATGATATTTGTGCAATAAGTCCTACTCACACATATACGACTAAAATGTTCTTCGTTACACATTTAATAATATATATATAAAAAATTAATGTTTTGTGAAATGACTAAAAAGGGTAGCTAAAGACTAATATTTTGAGAGTTGCAGAGGTCCCTGTAGCTGGAGGTTTCATCTTCGGTGTGGCTGCCCCTGCCTTGGTTGACTTTCTCGGCATATTTCTTGGTGCTGGGATCCTAGAATGGAATTGATGAAAAGAACCTCATAGGCTGGTGAAGAGTTGTTTAAGCTCAGGTACTACAGCTAAGATCAAAATTGACATCAAAATCAGTCATAGTTCAACTACCAGAATAGAGGACCGATGAAATATTCTTTTGTTGGTCAAAAACCTCACAAACACAAACCCATCTTCAGTATTATCACTAGTAATGTGGATATTAGTTTTTCTTTTTCAACAACCTCCAATAACTTTATAAAATTAATTAATTTTAATTCTAGACACATTCATATACACAAAAAAAATCTATTCTCTTCCCAAAATTTGTCTATCCATTTTTCAATTATCTATTTTCCTGGAAAATCTGGAACGAAAATTCTAGAACATTGCAACATACTTACTGGATTTTCTTTAATTTGGAAGTTAAAAATGAATTAGTTACTTACTGGGTTTCTTTAATATAGGTTTTTTGGGGAAGAAGATGAACCTGCACAGGTGGGTGCAACCTCACGAGCATTGACAGTGCGTGGGGGTGCGAGAGACCCTTTCCGGCGGTGGGTAGGGGCTGAAAACTCAAGAATTGGCAATCGGCGCTCAGAGATGGGTTGTTGGTTGCCAACATGTTCAATTCCATTGTATTTGCTTGATTACTCCTCAATCACCACCACTACTATCGCCATACCCACCAATACCTACCCAAAAATTTTAATAGTTGAGAGTCCCAAAGTTCGCAATTGGCCAGTGACACCAAGAAAGAAGAGGACGGAGGCAGTGGTTATGCAGCCGACGATGGCGATTTGGGTGGATGTCAATAAAGAAGATGGAAAACAAAAAGACTGACCATGGATAGTTGGGGCAAATTCTCCGTTTGGCTTTAGTAGCTTAGGATTGGTTCTAAGTAAATTTGTGAGAGCTTCAGTCTTAGAATAGTTTCATGGAGCTTTAAGACCCAGTTCATCACCGGTGCATCAAGACCTGTTATGGTCACTGACGATAATGAAGAAGGCTTCAATCTCACGAACTGGCTTTGCCTGGTTGTTGCGGTTTTGGGGTGGAGAGTAAGGTTTGGTATAAGTATTTTTGGAAGAATAAAAGGGTAAAATGGGCATTATATTAATTGAGGGTGTTTTTGCACAAATTAAAAAGAATAGGGGTGTTTTTTGCACACCTTTTTAAATAGGGGATAAAAGCGCTACGAAAGATATACTTCAGGGGTGTTTTTTGCACTTACCCCATATTTATTATGGATTCCACATATTTGTTAGAAAATGATTCTTATACCGAATAGTTACCGTCAATTGGTAGGCTTACTTTTCTAATTACTTAGGCAATTCATTGTAAATGTCCAGTATGAGTATCATTACTCATGTTTGTTTTATATAAGACGAAGAGTGTAAGAAACATTGGTGTAGTGTTCAAAATGTATTAACGAAGTGTTCGGCATGTGTCCAAGATGTGTCGGTTAAATGTTCTAAATAATAAAATTTATTTTTAAATAATTAATACGATCATGAAGTGTCGAAAACGTGTCTAAGAGAGTCCGGAGTATCAGTGTTTGACAAATATCATATACAAACATGGTATTTCGTAGAACTATTTTTTCTTCTTAAATTATAACTTTCAAATCTAAAGAGCCTGACTACAATAAAAAAATTTGTGCCAACTATTTGGAATTGGCTACATTAATTCTTATTCCTGTCAAGTTCTATCCAAGGCCATAAGTAGACCATAACCATGTTTTAACTTCACTTAAAATCACAAACCTAACATTAACACGCCTCAACTTATATATGTTCTTGTATTCATATCAACCTCAATAAGAAGTAGGGGCAGAGCCAGAAAATTTTATTAAGGGTACATGCATTTAAGTCAATGTTTATGAGTATATATAGAAAGAGAGTGATATTTTTCGAATGAAATTAATTTAGAGATATAGAATATAAGGATTAATGAAACAATTTAAGAGAAAAAAATAAAAAACATAAATAAAATTATATGAGGGAATAAGAAAATTCAGAAAGCACTTTCTATATTTTTATAAAAAATATATATATATATATAATTATAAAATATATATATATATATAATATAATAGGGATAAAATCTAGGGACTCGTGGCCTAGGCCTTAACTCCCCGGTCCCTAATAAGAATCATGTAATTTTTTCATACAAGTGCACAAATAGTTGGTTTTTTTCTGCACGTGGTTAAATTATATAGTATATAAACAAACAACATTGTATAGTATACACACGTACAAACACACACATACAGTGACTTTATTTAATTATGATTGCAACTTGCAAGCAAGCCAATCTAGATGCATAGTAGCAATAGCATGAAATAAGGATAATTCACTTCACATAAGGTATACTTCTTCACAAGTTTTTGTCACCAAGGCGATACGTTGGCACGGGGAGCAAGTGCTTGGCTCTTGGCATTGTGAGATTAAACTTTTCATTCATGTCCAACTCACCGCATGACATGCCATCAGGCAACTTCCAGTCGAAGGAATGCACTAATTGAGCCACCATTAATCGAATGGTCGTTAATCCTAAATGCATTCCCGGACATCCTCTTCGACTTGACCCAAATGGTATAAGTTGAAAATTGCGTCCTTGGAGGTTTATGTTGCTTCCAATAAACCTTTCGGGAAAGAAATCGTCCACATTATCGGACCACACATTAGGATCACATCCCAATGCCCAAGCATTCACTATAATTTGTGATTTCTTAGGAATGTAATATCCATCTATCACAATGTCCTCCATGGACTCATGAGGAATAAGCAATGGTCCAACTGGATGTAGTCTCAGAGTCTCTTTAATTACCATATCTAGGTAATTAAACTTCGCCAAATCGGTCTCTTCCACCTTTTGACGCATTCCAACAACACTCTTTACCTCTTCTTGGAGCCGGCTCATCACCCTCGGATGCTTAATGAGCTCGGAGAGGGCCCACTCTATCGCTATAGCTGACGTGTCAATAGCTCCTATGATCATGGCGAATACGATTGCTTTTATATTCATTCGATTGATTATGAACGATAGCTTGTCATGGGTCGTTGATGCAGACTGGTTCATCAATGATAGCATTATATGGATGAAATTTTTGTCAGGCCTTTGTTGCCCATTTCTAGCTGCTGCTTCAACATGGTCATCAATAATAACCTCCAAGATCTTATCAACGGCACTGCTGGTTGCCTTTAGGCGTCGAGTCAATCCCTGAAGGACGTTCATGAAATTAATGACATTTACATTTTTATAATCATAAATTATTTAATGTTAGAACAATATATTGTTGCCTATTGGTTTATATTTAATTTTGTAGAATATTATGACATGTATACAAAGGCCATTAGAAATAATTGAGGTTTCAGTGAAGGCCCAAATCGAAATTAAGATGTGGCCATTTGAGGGTGAAATTTATACTAGTATGTGGTAGTTAATGTGCAAACAAGATTTGGCTCCATATGCTTGATTGAGTGACAATTTGATAGAAGAAAATAATGACATGTTGACAGATCAATGTGAATGGAGATTGAAGAAGCAACTAACACTTGAATTAATTTATATATGGGAAAATTTAATACTTAAATTAATTTAAAGCTTAATTTGTATAGACTAAGTTTATGAGTTGAATATAAACAGACTCGAACTATTGACATCCACAGCGAGAGCCTCTCACGTCCCTGAATGTTGTGTTTGAAAGCATCGAATTGATGCATTGAATTTGAAATTGGAGGAGAATGCTTTTTGTCGGATTCTTAGGCTCTGTTTAGATAAACATGAGAGAAAATAAATGAGTGGATGGTGTTAGTTAAGAGAGAGGGAGAAAAAAAAAAAAATTTGATAGCAATAATATCTATTCATATTTGGATAGATAGAAAAGAAAAGAAAAAAAAAAAAAAAGCATAGTATTCTTATTTGTTGGACATGATAGAGGGGAGAAAATAAAACCTTGATTGCCTGAAATCTCACCAGAAATGAGGATATCCATCCCTAAATGTCTCCCAACAGCTAGCAACGGCTTTTTGTTATTATGAATGACCCGACTCTGTGTAATTAATAGGGTTAAGGTTATCTTGTGGGCTTCTATCTCTTGTGGGCCTCTTCTTGGGCTTGAAATTTTATTCGCTCTTGGGCTGTCTGGATGTTGGGCGGGTCTATGCTACACAGTAAATTGACTACTCATATAATATATATATATATATATATATATATATTGGTAAATAAGTGAGTATATAACAAAAGAACATGTATAAATAAATGGGGCATACCCCATAATACAAACCAAGTAAAAAGAGCAAAAGAAGAGTTCAAAAAAGAGGTGGACCACAGCCCAAGTAAGGTCCATTCAAATTCTGAATTCCAGCCCACTAAATTCCAAACCACTGTGCCCTAGAGAATGATTTACAAAAAAGATCGTTACCTGCTAACTGAACTCGATCCAAACGCACTAGCGTTTTGGGTAAAAAAATAAGTAAAATTATGTTAAAAATTAAAGGAAAGAAAATAAATAGGACAACATGATTGAATTAACATGATTTTATAAGCTTGCATTGCATTTAGACCAATACTTGCCTCCATGCTACTGTGTTATATGTATATAGTTTTTATCATATC